CACACACACACACCCACCCACCCACCCACCCAAACATAAGTTTGTAAGTACAGAAAAGTACTCGAACACGCACTAATCATGAGAAATACAGTATTACCATATAGATATACTTCATTTTACTATGATTTGCTATATTGCATATAAAAGATACTGTTTTTTTGCAAATGAAAGCTCTGTGGCACCCTATCTTGAGCAAGTCTATTGGTATGACTTTTCCAAAAACATGTTTTCACTTTATGTCTCTGTCACATTTTGATAATTCTCACAATAATTTAAACATCATTATGTCTGTTGTAATTTAAGATCAGTGGTACTTTGTGACTGTTTTGGGGGTATCATGAACCATATTCATGTAAGATGTTGAACTTAATCTATAAATGGTATGTATGTTGTCACTGCTCTACCAGTCAGCCATTTCCACATCTCTTTCCCTCTTTCCTATTCCCTGCAACACAAAGATACTGAAATTAGGCCAGTGTTCAAGTGAATGGAAGAGTAGCATATCTCTCACTTTAAATCAAAGGCTAGAAATGATTAAGCTTAGGAGGAAAGCTTGTTGAAGGCTGAGATAGGCCTAAAGTGAGGCCTCTTCTTCCAGTTAGCCAAGTTGTGAATACAAAGGAAATATACTTGAAGAAAATTGAAACACAGAATGATTAGAAAGTGGAACAGCTTTATTGTTGACAGGAAGAAAGTTTGAATGGTCTGGATAGAAAATCAAACAAGCCACAACACTTTTAGGTCAGAGCCTAATCCAGAGCACAACCTTCTTTTCAATTCAATGAAGGCTGAGAGAGGTAAGGAAGTTGAAAAAAATGTCTGAAGCTGGCTGATGCTGTTCATGAGGTTTAAGGAAAGAAGCTATCTCCATAAAATAAAAAAGCAAGATGAACCAGCAAGTGCTGATACAGAAGCTACAGCAAGTTACCCTGAAAATCTAGCTAAGAATTCATAAAGGTGGCTATGTTTTGATTGGTGCTGGTGACTCACGCCTGTAATCCTAGCTATTTAGGGGACTGAGATTGGGAAGATCATGGTTCAAGGCCAGCCTAGGCAAATAGTTTTCAAGAGTTCATCTCCAAAATAATGAGCAAAATGGACTGGAGGTGTGACTTAAGCAGTAGAGTACCCACTTTGCAAGTGTGAAGCCCTGAGTTCAAACCCCAGTCCCATAGAAAGAAAGGTGACTATGCTAGACAGATTTTTAATGAAGATGAAATCACCTTATATTGGCAGAAGATGCCATCTAGGGCTTTCATAGCTAGAGATGAGAAGTCAATCCCTGGCATCAGAGGATGGGTGACTTTCTTGTTAGGGCTAATGTAGCTGGTGATAAAGTTGGAGCCAGTGCTCAATTACCATTCCAAAAAACCTAGGGGCCTTGGGAATTGTACTAAATGTATTGTCTGTGCTCTGTAAATGGGAAAACAAAACCTCAATGGCAGTACATCTATTTACAATATAGTTTACTGAAAAAAATATTTTTGGTGCTAGGGTTTGAGCCTGGGGCCTCACACATGCTCAGAATGTGCCCTACTGTTGAGACCTACTGCTCAGAAAAGATAGTTTGAAAAAATTATTGCTCATCAACAATATACCTGGTCACTCGAGCTTTGGTGGAGATGTATAATGAGATTAATGTCTGCATGCCTCTCCACACAACATTCATTCTGCAGTTTATGGATCAAGGACAATATTAACTTTCAAGATTTATTATTGAAAAAAATGTATTTGTAAGTCTATTGCTGATACAGTGATTTCTGTAATAGATCTGGACATAGTAAATTGAAAACTTCCTGGAAAGGATTCACCATTCTAGAAGCCATTAAGAACATTTGCAGGGCTCTAGGAGTGACTCAAGTGGTAGAGTGCTTGACGCCCTGAGTTCAAATCCCGGTACTGCCCAAAAAGAGCCAAAAAAAAAATCTGCAGTTCATGGAGGTGGCAGAAGATCAAAATGTTGACATTAACAGGAGTTTGGAAGAAATGAATTCTAATCTTCATGAATTACTTAGGTTTAAGAAGGAAGTAACTCAAGATGTAGTGGAAATAGCAAGAGAACTGAATTTAGGAGTGGACCCTAAAGATGTGACTGGATTGCTTCAATCTTGTGATAAAACTTTAATAGATAAGGAGTTGGTTATATGGACAAACGAAGAAAGTGGATTTTGTGTGTGTGTGTAATACTGGGGTTTGAACTCAAGGCCTACACATTGAGCCACTCCACCAGCTCTTTTTTTGTGAACAGTTTTTTTTTTTTTTTTTCAAGATAGGGTCTTATGAAGCTAGGCTGGCTTCAGACAATGATTACAGGTATGAGCCATGTCCGCCGGCTAAGAAGGTGGTTTCTTGAGATGGAATCTACTGGTGAAGATGCTGTAAACATTGTTGAAATGACAATAAAAGATTTAGAGTACTACATCAAAGTGCCTGTACAGTTTGCATTCCCATCAGTGGTACATGGAATTAATTTTCCAGTGGGGCTTATATCCTTATCAGTACTTGGTATTAAATGTTTCTGTTTTGTTTTTTACTCTTTTGATGTGTTGTTTTGCATTATATCATTTTTGTTTTGTTTGTTTTGGTGGTACTGGGATTCGAACTCAAGGCCTCAAGCTTGCTAGGGAGGTGCTCTACCATTTGAGCCACCCACATGGTATTTTCTAGATATGGTCTAGAAAATAGACCCTATTGATTATTTTCTAGATAGGGTCTTGTGAACTATTTGCCTGGGGCTGGCTTTGAACCACGATCCTCCAGATCTCTGCCTCCTAAATAGCTAGGATTACAGGTGTAAGCCTTGGATAAATTACTCTTTGATGCAGGATTTTTTCTTTTTGTCAGTAAAATGAAGTTTTTAAAAATTTATTTTTATTTTTATTTATTTATTTATTTATTTATATGTGCATACAATGTTTGGGTCATTTCCCCCCCTTCCCCCACCCCCTCCCACCCCCTCCCTTACCCTCCTCCCCCCTCCCTTACCCTCCTCCCCCCTCCCTTACCCTCCTCCCCCCTCCCTCTCCCCAAGATTTTTTTTTTAAAGCCTCTTTCAGTGACCAGCATACAGGAGATGCTCAGTAAATTTTCCTTCCTTCACCCAATTTCCACTTTGAGGCATTTGCCTCAAACATAAGGGATAAGTAAATTATGCAATGGGAGAGGCTGGGACTGACTTGGGTAACAAGAAGAAACTTGTTTTGTTTTTGGAGACACAGTCTTGCTATTAGACCCCAGGCTGACCTTGAACTCTTCATCCTATGGCCTCCACCTCCAGAGTCTGGGATTACTGGCATTCATTCCCAGACACTGCAAGGAATGAGTTTGTTCAGACTGATTGAAATGTGGGAGACAGACAGTAAAGGTGGTGAAGAACAGAAACTGTACTAGATCTTGTGAGTATGGCAGATTCCTAGGGGTTGACAGGGAAGGAGACACCTAGATGCTGTAATGTCAGCTTGCCTGTTGTCTTGGTGGTGTGGGCTGCTAACAAGAATACGACAAACTGAGTAACTTGTAAACAACAGATGTTTATTTCTCAATAGTTCTGGAAGCTGGCAAGTTCAAGATAAAGGCAGGTTTGGTGTCTTGTGAGAGATGGCTTACTAGATGGTGGTCTTTTCACTATAACCTTAACTGGTAGAACGGGCAAGGGATCTCTTTTTCAGCCTCTCATAAAAGTTGTTTATTTAGCTATTACTACTATTCTACTATTATTCTTGGATTTTCTTTTTTTGGTGGCACTGGAGTTTGAACTCATGACTGCACACTTGCTAGGCAAGTGCTCTTACCACTTGAGACACTCCCCCAGACTTTTCTTTTTGTGATTTTTTTTTTCAATAGGGTCTTGAGAACTGTTTGCTCAGGGCTGGCTTCCAGTGGAGATCCTCCTGCTCTCTGCCTTCTGCCTTCTGAGTGGCTAGGATTACAGAGGTGAGCCACCAGGTCCCGGTTTGGTTTTCCTGTTTGTCTTTTTTTTTTTGGCAGTACTGGGGTTTGAATTTAGGGTCTCACAATTGAGAAGCAGGTGCTCTACCACTTGAGCCATTCCACCAGCTATTCTTGGATTTTTCAGATGGTCTGTCTCACTATGCATCTTAGACTGGCCTCAAAATTGCAATCCTTATTCCTTACTCTTCCCAAGGCTGGGATTACAGACATGACCAGCACGCCTGGCCTTTTTATTTTTAACTGACAAATAATTGTGTATTCATAGGTTACAATGTGATGTATTCATATATGTACACATTGTTGGATGAATCATACTAACTGAGATACTTATAATTTTTGTGGTGGGCAAGGGGGACTCTTTGATAAGGACCCTCATTTCCTAATCCTATTACGATTTCAACATTTGAAATTTCTTGGCAGGGGGGAACACATTTACAACAACTTGCAAAATCTCCTTAAATTTTCTACAAACATATCCATCTTATGATGGTTAGAAATTAAACCATCATCTCTGATTAGATCACAAAGTGGCAAAATTTTCCATGTTCCAAATACTTTTCAGTTACTTGAACTTATGATCATAGTGCTAGAATTGGAGGATGGAGAAGCCATTTCTCAGGAACTAGATATGCAAACAATTCAAATCAATTATAGGTGATGGAGACATACCAAACAGCAAGTAGTAAGAAAGAAAAATTCCATTTTAGGTTTCAGATATTTCAACTCTAAAATGATGGGGAAACAGGCACATTTCACAGATGATAAGATTATACACTATTCTTATTTTCATAATGACAACTGTATTGCTAATTTTAGCGGCAGTTTTGAGTCAAGCCACAAAAAAAATCACTGCAGAAGCACGACTGAGTTCTGATCCAATTTCACCTCTGAAATCAGTCCTCCACATTTTTCTCTTGGAAAACCAGAGACTGAGGAAAATCTAGTTCAGGCCTTTTCTGGAACACAGAACAGGGAACACCAAGGGGAGGAGGACTGACGCCGCAGTTCTCCAAGGGCAGTTTGCCCCTTGCATGTGACATGTTATTTGCAACCTGTGGCTCCAGGCTGGCGATTTGGGTGGTGGGGCGGCGGGGCACCTGCGCGAGCGCTCCGCGTGGCTTATAAACATGGCTGGCGTAGCGGTGTCGGTCAGGAGTGCGGCGAGGGGCTTTGAGGGCCGGAGGGTCTACACTTTTTGAACTTTCTGGCCGAAGTGACGCCGTTGAGGGCGCCCCGGCCAGGGTCAGCCGCCGGGGGACCAGGCTGAGCTCCCTGAACCGCGGTGCTGCAGAAGGAAAACATGATCGTAAATACTTTGAGTTTTCAGGACACTGAGAACGAATTATTATATTGGGCTGGGAAAACCGAAGGAACTCACTACACTCATTCTTAGGGCTCTGCTGCAGCCAAGTTAGTAAGAGTGAATTGCTTGAACGGTACTTCTTAGGTTGTGTGAGAGATTGTCCACATCCATGGGTTTTTAACCTTCCCCTTGCCAGCTGCAGCAGCCACAGTTCTATTTCTGTGGCCTCTGAACATTCGGTGAAGTCTTTTTCTTTTGCGGCACTGGGGTTTCAACTCAGGGCCTCATGCTTTCTAGGAAGGTACTAGAACCACTCCACCAGCCCAGGGAAGTATTAATAGTTCTGAAAAGTAAAAGCTTGAGTTTATTTAGTTAGTGCACAATTGTTGGACACTGATTATATTTGTAATTTTTTTGGTGGGACTGGGGTTTGTATTTGTAATTTTTATAAAAAGGGATAACTAGGAGTTCTGATCAGGAGTCTGAATTCAGATGGGTGGGAAAGTCTCTATTAAACACAAACTAAATTTCTTTCAACTGTGACTATAGGCTACAAACCTTGGAGCCCTAGAGTGCTATATTATCTTGTATACCTGTGACCCTTACAATCAAAATCACTGATATTTTTGTATTTTCTCAAATGTTAAAGTTATGTTGAAATGTTGTTCCTGCTTGTTACCACATTGGAATTATGGGAGTTATTAGCCCCACTTTTGACGTTATTTAATGTATTAATAAAGAAGGTACAACTCAAAGAAAGCTTTAGTACATATAATTGTTCTGAAATAGTATATCTGGGTTACTTAATTTTTTCTTTGGATTATTTTTCCATATATATGGGTTGCTTTTCCTAATATAAATTGATACGTGTTTTAAGCCGAGGTGTTCCTCAGTGGTAATCTAGGGCAGTAGAAATTCCCCAAAATTGAAGTTAATGTGTTCACTTGAGGGTACAGCATGTCAGCTTGGGGTACTTCAGGAACAAGAACTTAGAAACCAGAACAAGATACCATAGTTCGTTGTTTGACTATAAAGGCAAATGTATGTGTTAAGAAACTTGAAAGTATTTATCCTATTTATGGTTGTCAATATTTATTTAAAATGACTTGAAACATGGTCTACTCTTGTAAATATAGTACAATACAGTATTACAGAGCTTTCATGGCTGAATATAATACAGACTCTGAAGAGAGAAACTTACTAACTGCACAGAAGCCTCAATTTCATTAGCAAAATCTCTGGAAGGATCCAGAAGAAATGCACAGTAGTTGTCCTGGAGAGCAGGTCTAAGGTAGGAGGAACACTTCATTTTCACTGTTGTCTTTGGGGCCTTCCTCTATATTTACTAAAATTGTGCTAATTTTAGTTGCAATTTTTTATAATTTTTTGGTTGTATTGGGGTTCAAGCTCAGGTAATTTTTTATTTAACCTCTTTTGCTCAACGTTTCATTTCTTCTAGTCTTCATAGTTCATCAGTATTTTTAATTTCCTTCCCATTTTTACTCTTAAAACATTCTTGTTTGATAGATACACCATTGTTTCTAAAGTGGGAGTGTTACAGGAGGACATTTTCTTAATAGCATCCTGCCCTTTCTGTGTTGTATTCTTGTAGAATGCAAGCATTTAAGTAAAAAATGACTGCAGTGCTCAGTTTTGTATGTGAACTGTGAGCATTGTTCTTTCCCTTCTGTGCCTCAAGCTTTTCTTGTGCCCTATGACTTAGGTTTTTTTTTGTTGTTTTTTTTTTTTGTAATGAGGTTTGAACTCAGGGCCTTGCACTTGCTAGGCAGATAGATGCTCTACCACTTGATTCGCACCCACAACACTTTTTTGCTTGTGTTAGTTTTTCAGGTGGGGTCTGGCATTTTTGCCCAAGGCCAACCTTCATTGTGATTCTCCTCCTGCTTAGTTGGGTTCACAGGTACACACCACTGTACCCAGCTTATATTTATTAAGATTGAGAGTTGTTAACTTTTTCCCCAACTGGCCTCCAACCTTGGTCCTCCTAATCTTCACTCCCTGAGTATCTGGGATTATGGGCATGAAATACTCTTCCTGGCCCCATTATTTTGTCTCTGAAATGAAATGTTTGCTTTAACTCAGTGTGATTTTCTAAATTAAGATTCAGCTTGTCATTTCTTGGGGTAAACTTTTTGTCCTACAGGTGGTGGTAGAGTCACACCTCATTCTGATAGCAGATGAACAAACTAAATGAAATTCTTTTCACTATAAAAATAAGATAACCCCTTTTTGTAATATTCTTTGTGCTTGCTCTAATGGTCTACACAAAGTCAGCTTATTTGAATATAAGATTATCAGTTGTTCACTGTGCTTTATACTTAAGAAAAAGCAGGAGATTACAGGACAGAAGACTCTTTGTTTTCATATAAAGATTTGCTATTTGAAATACTTTTAGAGAAGCACTAGGAATAATTTTTGAGGACTTCTGTATGCAGCACTATATTTCACAGACAATCCTAGGACAGTAAGTCCCATTGTTGTCCTTGCTTTTTGCAGACAGGAGTCATAGAATTAGGAGGATTAAGTGACTTTTTTTGCCTGTAGTTAATATTGCAGCAGATGGCAATGAAAGTAGGTGGGTGAGAATGAAACCCAGATCTACTAGAGTCCGAGTTCTTCTGTGTTACCTGGCCATTGACTATTAGAGCATCAAATACAAGTAAAGATCTCAGCTCATTTGCAGTAAGATAAGTGTGCAGTGAGGTACTGACAAATGTATCATGGTAATACATATCTAATTGAATTTCAGTCTGTGGCTGTGCCTACCAATGTGGTCACCATTACTCCTGCCAAAGTGGTGAGTACTGTGACTACCCTGAAGCCATCAAGTTTGGGAGCATCATCTACCCCCTTAAGTGAGCCCAGTCTCAAAGCAGAGAACTCAGCGGCTGCTCTGATTAATCTTTCTCCAGTAAGCGCTTATTTATACCTTGTATCAATACAGTTCCTTACCTGTATTAACAATTCTTGAATCCTGTTGCCAGCTAACATTTGTGATTGCTTGTTTTTCCATATTTAGATAATGGTAGAAAATGTGAAGAAATGTCAAAACTTCCTTGCAATGTTAATAAAACTAGCATGTAGTGGATCTCAGTCTCCAGAAATGGGTCAGAATGTGAAAAAGCTGGTGGAACAACTTTTGGTAAGTTAGTATGATAAAATTTTGCAAGATATATGAGAGTCCATGGGACATGTTTTGTTGTTGTTGTTGTTGTTTTGTTTTGTTCTGTTCTGGCAGTACTAGGATTTCGACTCAGGCCCTTACACTTGGTAGGCAGGTGCCCTAACAGTTGAGCCACTCCAACAGTCCTGTTTTGTGTTGGGTGTTTTCAAGTTAGGATCTCATGAACTATTTGCCCGGCTGGCTTTGAACTGTGAATCCTCCTGTATCTGCCTTCCAAGTAGCTAGGATTACAGGCGTGAGCCACCAGCAACTGGTGAATGTAATGTACTACTACTGCTTTTTTCTTTCCTTAATGTACTTCTTGATGATATTTGGTTTTACTTCTTGAAATCTTTGCAATGATCGTAGACAAGTTTATTGTAACTTTAAACATTTACTTTTTATTTTTCATCATACATGTCATGATGTCTTAATATATATTATTTTCTGTGTATCAGTCTTGTTTCCCTTAGGCTGAACAGGGCCTTGGAGAGAAGGGTGAGTGTTTGGTCACATAGGGAATTGTTATTAGAACTGTAAAATGCTAGAAAGCCAGGCTTTCAACAGATAATGAAACTTAGTACTGTATGTCCAAATACTAAGCTTAGGACCTGTCCCACTTGAGTGGCCTTTTTAGGCCCCATTTTCCCTTTAAAATGAGAAGAGTAAACCTGATAATCATTGTGGTTTCTACAACTGCCAAGTTGCTGTGTCTCTTAGCTACCAAATTACACATCCTTGGCTTCTTAACTTCACTAAAGAGGATGAAGGTAGATGTTAGAAATATTTACTATTATGTGCTTAAGAACTATGTTGAGAATACAATAGAAGAACATAATTTAGAATTTTATAGCTAAGATTTCTCTGCTCAAATAACCAATTGTTGTGGGTTTTTTTGTGGTATTGAGGTTTGAACTCAGGACCTTACGCTTGCTAGGTCAGCAATCTAGCACTTGAGCCACTTTGCCAGCCATGTTTTGTATTGGATATTTTCGAGATGGGGTCTCATGGCTTTTAATCACAATCCTCCTGATCTCTGCCTCCTGAGTAGCTAGGATTATAGGTGTGAGCCACAGCCGCCTGGCACTTTTTGTGTATTTTTGAAACGTTAAATGGTCACTTTTTGCCAGTAGGAAACATGTATGCATTATATTTTGTTCAGGGAAAGCAAGCATAGTTTATAAGCATTAAAATATCTTCTTTATTTTTAAACATGTTCCCTATGTGATATTAGAAATAAAATGATTAGCTTTCCATTTGAGAAGATATTTTTGTGTTTTAGATAAAAATTATTAAGTTATGCTGAGTATGGTGGCTCATACCTGTAATCCCAGCACTCAGGAAGTGGAGACAGGAGATTATGAGTTCAAGGTCAGTCTGCGCTACACGTTGAAGCCTTGTCTAAAAAAAATATGGTCCAGGGATGTGGCTAGGTGGTAGAGTGTGTGCCTAGGATGTGCAACAGTGTGGATTCAATTCCTAGTACTGCAAAAAAGAAAGAAAGAAAGAAAATTAATTACAAACTATAAACAAGTTTCAATGTAGATTTTGAATGTCTATTTATAAGTAAATATTGAGCTTTGCTTTTCCCTGTCAGGATATGCTAATTTTGACAGGGGTTATGGAGACTTATAGATGCCCTGGATGGAGAGAGATGATGATAAAGAACATATCCTATACGATGTTTTCATGTTTCTAAACACAGAGGTGTGTGAGTTTTGTGGAGAAGTAGCAAGTTAGGAATAAATGAAATATCCTTTCTGCTTAACAGCTGTCTTAGAATAGCAAACAGCACTTCTCAGACATTTTGGTCTCAGGATACTTTTATATTTTTAAATCAAAGGCTCCTCAAGGCATTTTAATTCTTTGTGGGTCTGGAATTAAAAATATATTTATTTTTGTGGCAGTACTGGGGTTTGAACTCAGGGCCTTGCACTTGCTGGTAAGTGCCTTGTTCTTGCTAGGGATTGAGCCTAGGGCCCAGTGAATAATAGACAAATGCTCTGTCACTACCTACCTCCCAGCCCAATAATGAGTGTTTCCATAGCTCTCTCCATGTGATCCTGCATATCTCCAGATGACTGTGCATACCAGAGTCTACTGGTTTAACTTAACACTGTAAATAGCTCTTTTACCCAGATATGGTTTTTGTAATACAATGCATTGGTCATTTGGAAAATACTGGCTCTTTGAGTTATACAGCTCCCTCAAATGCTTTTAGATATTTTATTTAAGATACCAAAATAAAATGTTCACTAATTTCATCCAACAGTCTTATCAGAGAATTCTTGGTGGGAAAAAAAAAGACTATTCTTGAGAGCTTGTTTGGAGGTTCTAGCAGGGGAGCGCAGCTGTTGGTATACCCTTGACCGAAGAATGGTCCTCCTCTATCGGGGATGGTCGTCCTCTTCGACCGAGCACGCAGCTTCGGGAGGGACGCACATGGAGCGGTGAGGGAGGAAGGGGACACCCGCCTAGCTAGCCAGATCAGCAGAATCAACCCTGGCGATCAATGGGGTGACAGATGTCGCAGCCAGATCACCCTCACATCCAAAAGACTATTCTTAATGGTACTAGCACTTGAACTCAGGTTTTGGGCTTACTAGGGAGGTGCTCTACTTCTTAAGCCACTCCTTTAGCCAGAAAACTCAGTCCTGTGGAGCCATCAAGTTTAGAGAAGTAGTTATAAATTTTCCATAATTGTAGGTTTTTGGCTCAGTAGCTTTTTATCATTAGCAATAAATAACTATTAGTTGATTTCCCCACAGTAATGTGCTTGGATGCCTACCAAGCATCCAATTTTGAATAACCACAGTTGCTTTGTCATTCTTCCAGTAAAAATGAGGGGTGGAGGGGGAAAGCAAAAACAAAAAACCAGCTTGCTTAGTTAGTGACTCAAGACAAAGTGCTTTTCCCTGAGTATCTTTCTTTGGTCTGCAGCAGAAAGCTTTATGTGTGGTTCAGGAGTTGTTGCATATGATATTAGATGTGTACTGCAGAGCTGAGATTGAATAAAATTCATTTTCCTTGCTTCATCAAGGGTGTTTTCAGTGAAACAGACTATATATTTTCTTTTTTATTACAGTGACAACTGTTTCACTTTGCTTTCTTTTTTGCCTACTCTTTCTTACCAGTAGTTGTACCTACTGTTGCTTGTACACCATTACTGCAATTCTCAGCACAGTGAAAAAGTTCAATTCCCATCCCCCCAACAAAATGGTAGTATGAATGTAAGAATATTTACCTCTCACAGACCCATAAAATGCTGAGCATAAAATAATGACTGTAGGAGTTCCTCTGTGCTTTGAAACTGACATTATGAATTTGCAATAACCTTCCAAAAATACGATCTGATTTATTATGCTAATTTTAAAAATCCTTAAAGCCCCCAAACCAAAGAACTTCCTATTCCTTAGCCTATGAAATTCATGAGTTGTGTGAATTTATGTGGTGGTTGTTTTTACAGACCATAAAAATGTAGCATTGTTCAGCTTTTCTCTCACTTTGTGTACCAAAAGTCCCTTACCCACCCCCCACATAATCCTCCCTTCATTATATTGTCTATGACTTAATATCTCTAGTGTTTGTGTTCACTCTTTTCTTTGGTGACATGAAAAAAAAAGTCTCCTTATAATGGAGCAATTTACCACTTGTGCAAAGATTGTCTTCAATCATCAGTTATGTACTTTCCTCTTTTTAAATTTAATTTTTATTTTTTTTAGGAGATGGGGTCTCGCTCTGCTGTCCAGGCTGGCTTTGAACTCCAGGGCTCAAGCAATCCTCCTGCCTCAGCCCTTTGAGTAGCTGTCACTACAAGCATGTATTATGCCTGGTTTTGCCTCTTAAAATATTTGTAGACTTAAAAGTGTTTTCTTTCTCCCATTCCTTAGGATGCAAAAATTGAAGCAGAAGAATTTACTAGGAAACTGTATGTTGAATTCAAGTCTTCCTAGTTCTTTTTCTTACGGCAGAGTAGTTGTGTGTTTCTTTAAAAAATTGTTTGGCATGAATTTCTTTAAAATAATTTAAAAAATCTGTAGTTTATTTCCAACCTATGACAGTCCACCCCAGCCTCGCTGACACACCTCACTCACACCCACGAGCATCCTAGCAATTAGTTCGAAATTTGAAGCATATTTAATAGTATGTTGCTTGATCATTCTGAAAAAAGAGATCAGGAATATCATTTACTAGGATTGCACTCATCACCTCTCTCGCTGCCACGCGCGCACGCCTGCTACTAACAAAAGATACTTTGATGCGTGAATGTGTGGCTAAGAAAGCAGCAAGAGGGAGACAGAGGGGCAAGAGAGGAGGTAGGGCCTTCTGTATTGTCTTAACAAAACTGTTCCATAGTATAGGTAAAAACATAGTGCCAAATTGGGGAAAGCTTTCTTCATTTCTTCAAAACAAATGAATATATTATTAGGCATATCTTTTCTATGTTCTTTTGTGAGCTAATAGAATTGTACTGAGGAATTTTGATACATACGAGTTGTTTGGCAGACTAAAAGAAAATTCATTTTAGATTCCAAGGAAATTAAAAAGCTAACCACATTGAATTTAAAAGTCATTAAAGACACACAGGGCTAATAGTGAACCAAAACAACTCATCCAAAATTCTATCTACATCACACACCCACTTATTTCAACGCTCTTTGGCGTCTCCGCTCATAGGAACATGAAAGAGGCTTCACTGACAGGAAGCACTCTTGTTCCTCAAACTTGAACCAATCGCTGAAGAAATAATTGGGAGCACCCATTTTCATTAGGATATTTTGACGAGGGTGAGCAAATTGAGTAGGCAGGGTGAAATCATGTGATACAAAGCTAGTCGGACCTAAAGAAGCTCCGAGAATATATTAGCTGGCAGCAAGACGCAGATTGGGGAAGGAAGTGAAGGCATTGTATCTGTCCCTCACCTCATTACTGCGACTAACACATTTGACCTTGTACAATGTAGAGCCCATCACTAGGAT